ATATATATATATATATATATATATATATATATATATATATATATATATATATACATATATAAAAGCAAAATAAATATACGTTATGATGAAGATTTAAGGAGTTCGCTGGTTTTATATGGAATTGCTTTTCTATTTATTTGAAATAACTTTCTGGTGTCATGTTTTCGTAAATGTTTCATTTCCATTCACACATTGCTTTTACTTTGTAAATACTCAGATATTTTGCTTTTCTCGAAATAATTGTAATTGATGCGGCAATCTCATGGTCTTTTTTGGAATAGGACATGTATCATTTTGTTTGGATAATTGCGATTGAAAATATGGATCATTCTTTTGCAACATGGGTTATGGAATGGTTTGAATAATGTCATGAAAGTATCGTGGAAAAGTGAAATTTGCTTCTCAAATTCGAATTTTAGAGAACTGAAATTTTCTTTTGGAGTTAATAAATTTAATCTCGGAACACCGGAAATATTTGATTTGAAAGGGACTGGATTTTACTTGTTGATCTAATTCGTTGAAGTTAAAATTTTTCTTGTGAAATGATTTTCAAACGTTCCACTTTTCTTTCGTATATGTTGTATGTAGTTTGCGGATTTATGACTTTTTTTGCTTTTTGATTTATGCTTATTTTGGTCATGGATGCAGTTCTACGGAAAATCAGGATATTGCTACCAAAACTCCACATTTTATTCTGTTACGTGTTTTCTGAACTATTATTGTTCTTGTTATTTTCTCGACTGATAACAAGCGATATGTTATCAAAGATGTACTGTAATATGCATATAAAGATATGAACTTCGAAATGCACTTAACATGACTTTCTTTCATGCAATAAATTGTGGTTTCGTGCAATAAAAAAGTCCAGAATATTGCTGGCTAAATATTACAAGATTTATAAAAACAGGAAATATTCCTGCTAAAGCATGGGATTGCTGAGGATAACTTGAACATTTACTTTTTCTGATGTACTGTCAGAAGCGACGCTTTGGATGGTCTATAAAAATTGGAAAATAAAGAGCCTGGACATACCGGACCATGATGCATTTTATAGTCGATGGTAAAAATAACGTGAAAATAATAAAGTTTCATTAGTTTATTTCATTCCAACAGCGGTAGTACATCATGTAGTTGCTTTTCACGCTTACTCTTGCAATCTAGAAATTTTAAATTATGCAATTAGAATTGTCCTTGTACCTTATCTTGCAAAAGTTCATTCTATTCTGTCATTTAACATAATGAATACTTTTTATCCACAGTAAATGCATTTATTTCCTTCATCTTCCGTTTTCCAAATAATATTTGCATGCGTGAAATTGTTTTTTTCTCTGGTAGAAGTTGTCACGGAATAAGATTGAGAAATAAAATGATCATGTTGCTACCGTGTAAAATTGAGACATCCTTTTCTGTTTCATAGGCCACTAATGAAGCCATTATCGAAAGATATTCATGGAAATCGATAGTTATGAAGTCGTTTAGTAGCAAACATACTGAACAACAAAATGATTAGAACATTCTACCTTAACTCTTACTCGAGAAAAGTTTCTTCCTTTAGTTTCAAACATTTTCAAATAATTTGATCCTTGAAGGTGTGCCTCTGTATCTGAATCATTTCGTCTGAATTGTTCCAAATTCAAAATATGAAGTTGGCGATAAAATCGCTTTGTCTGTAAAGAAAGTTAGCTTGTATAAAAATCATTATTTTACTGTGCCATCGGGAAAGTCTGTATATTTTTTCCTAAACCAAGAATTGGAACGAAGAAGGTAAAGTTATTTCTTATCATTAGAAGTTTTTCAAGTTACATTCAGTAACTAAAAAATCAAAATTAGCATATCGCGAAATTGTTGGCAATTAATTCTATTTTTAGGACTACCCATTATCATTGTTAATTAATGACAATGATGAAAACGTGGTTTATGAAATTTTTCTGAGTCGATTGCAACATTTTAATGATGGATCACTGTTAAATGACATTGTTAAATGTTTCTCTGCCAGCTTTTTTTTCTGTAAATATTGAAGAAAGATGTTGTTGTTTTTTTTGCTTCATCGTCATGTAATTAATTTTTCTGTTCTTATTGCATTACTTTCTTAAACTTTGCATTTGTATACTTCACACCTTTTACTTATCCATCATTCTTTTCAAATGTGAATTTATTTGGACACTTATACAAAAAAAAAAAAAGAAAAACCGTTAAATAACAGTTAAGATATCTTTGGGGAAAAAAGGGCATTAGAACTTTTTAGATTTGTAAATACTTTTCAATTTCAATAATTCCTATGAGGATGTGAATGTTAGCGCAAAATTTAGCTACTTTTAACTGCGATATTGAATAGCCTTCTATAATTTAACACAACTACATAAAGTAATGAAATATGTATACGAATTCATTTAAGCATGAAACTTCACAACTCGCATTGCAAGTTGAAACATCAGGAAGAACAGAAATGTTGGAAGGATAATTAGAAGAAGGCGGAAGTATGTTAATTCAGTAGGAGTCAAAGCTAAGATTATTTGATAAACTAATTTGAGTATTAGTGAGCAATCCCTGAATGAAATATCTATGAATTTGTCGTCCATTTAGTAATGATGGAGAAATTTTCGGATATTCCGAGAAATTTCTCATGAAATATTTTCCTGCTTGCTACCCAATCTATTGCAGGAGTAGTGTAAGAAAACATCTTCAGTTTACTGTGACAAGATACTGTTATAATAATATTACTTGATAGCATCATTTTAGTCATCTAATTGACAAGTGAATAATGATTATATAATTACAACTATTTCAATCTCTTCCAAAGATTTTAAAATATACTGTTCATCTGAAATGTAAGATGTATAGTTAAATAATACATGTGTCATTTACGTCACTTCACGCCGATTACTTTATTTAACAATCAGGGATAAGCGTGGAATCTGTTCTTAGTTCTAAAGGCGTCATATATCAAAAATCATTGTCCGATGAAACATTTATTATAATAGTGAAATAAAAAGCAAAAAGTTTCAATAATTTTAATGTTATTATAGTTAAAATAAAGTGCAATATTTATAAAATAGTGCTTTACAATGATTCAAAATTTACGGATGCAAACAATCTGAGATGACCTTTCACCTTTTAATGTTTGCGTAGTCGTTAATAACACAGTAATAGAATAAAAGACTTCTGGAATGTGGAATTTACGTTGAGTGATTAGCAGTGATGTAGAGAAAAATCTAATAATACTTCACAATACATGTTTAATGCTTTCATCTTAATTTCAAAATAAAATAATGCAGTAATATTACGACAATTTGCAAGAGATTTGCTCACACATTAAACTTTGATAGTCTTGCTGTATGAGTAACGAATTTTAATCTCCATCATGTCTGATAAGCCATATTGATAACCTAATCACACCACACTTCTGGTAGAATCTAAGCGATATTTCAAAACGATAGAGGATTATCTTTTATCTGTTAAGTACCATTGGATATCACTGCTTTATGGTATTCTCGCTTACATCGCTTTGTATTTACATGTTACTTTTTGGTCAAATAAATTATTCATCTTTTTTAGTCAACTTCTATCAGCTGTAAATATTACCAGAATTGCCAGTAATTTGGGTCAGTTAACTGATAAAGCCTAATAAAGAGGTCAAGGAAGATATCTGACAAGTTGTTTATGTATATCGCATCCCACCACACTTTTAATGGAATTAAATTTGAATAATCGATGACTCATCAAGTACTGGTTTTTCCATTTCTTAATTTTTAAAAGATCAGCGATCGCAATTACATTATCATCAGTACTACAAATTACTTGAAAACATTGTTTTACAAGTCATCATTACCTTATCAATTATTAAATTTCTAACAGCTTTTCACTTCACTTAATAACCTTTTATCCATAACTTAACGATAGAAGTTTTGAGTCAACGAAAGCTATAAAGTTCATTTCATAGCTATTAAAATGTATGACTCCTTGGGATTAATTGCAATTACAAAAATGTGACAATAATTTTCAAAATAATTCTATCCTTTTCAAAAAACGTTCAGTTATTTGATGACAATGTCATCAAGAATTTTCAAACAATTCCATTCGAATAATCTATTGTTTTGTGTAACTATTGGGGATTTTTACAAAAACAACTTTTCTAACAAAAAAAAAAAACAAACTTGTAGACAGTTCATGATCTAATAAGTGGTTAATGGTAATCAGTTTGGACCGGTGGTTAATTAACTAACAAT